TTTCAACTGAGAAGAAGTGCTAATTTTACCCTACTGTATAAATAACTTAACAAAAATTGCGCATTTTTATATTCAGCAGTGATAAATATTTTAAATTATAATACCGTAAATTATAGGGTTTTCCTCGATCTGGCAGAAGCTTTGAAGTAACGACAAAGTGAGAGAAAACTTCAAAAAATGTTTTTATTCAAACAGAAATTAAAACATCAATGCACATTCTTGTGATAACAAAATCAACCACAGCTCGTGGAGACGCAACAAAACAGAAACAGTCAATTTCAATTTAAAATGTAGAACAGTAGTCAAAAACTACAAAATACATTTTTAACCTAAGCTCTATCAGTAATTCTTTCTAACTGATGTATCAAATTCAAATGTCGAAAGCAAAAACGCAAAGCCGAATAATTACAGCTCAGAGCTAACAGAAACTAAACGTAGAGTTACAGGCCAGAAATACGATCTTTCTTACAATCCAAAAAAAAAACCTCAGTTTAAATACTATCTAACATCATTTACATTCTGATGAGGAAAATGAAATGATAAGCTATAGTAAAGGTTGAAATTATAAATAACTGGTTAATTTAAATAATAATCTTATAACATAGTACGCAAATTTTAATATTCGGAAAATAATTATATCTACTTTTTTACAGTTTTAAAATGGGAAATGTTAAAAAGTATTTTTGAGACTTTAGTCAAAATAACAAATAATTTTGAAATAGTATAAGTAATAATATAATTAATACTATATGATAAATACAAAGCAACCCCATAAATTAGCCAGATTAATTAAAAATACCGAACGATAATTAAAAAAAAAAAAAAAAAACCTGAAAGAATAATGTATATTCAGAACAAGTGACTCTCTAAATCTTGTAGAAGCCTATCTTAACTAGTTATTTTGTAGCTTGAATTTCAGAATACCTGAGTCATTTTCAGTTACTGAGAAGACATTATACACACACACACACACACACACACACACACAAAAAAAAAAAAAAAAAAAAAAAAAAAAACATGCTTCGAGAGAGAACAAAGTTATAACTTTAAATTTTGTTCCAAATTAGGTGAATCTGCTACCAAAACGTCAGAGATGATTCGAACAGTTGAAGCATCATTTTTTTAAAAGTTTGCAGCGGCAGCGCCAAACAGGCGATACAAACTCAAAAACTCTAGAGAAAACCGCCAATTGGCGAAACAGTAAACAAAGACAGTAAACCTGTACGGAAATCCTACGGGCTGACGGGGAGCGACGAGTTTTCTCCGGCAGTCTAATCTATGTAACACTCAGTTTGTCTAACTCCTTCAGTCGTGTGCCTTCACCGGATATGTAAACTTAGGAATCCGTGTCTGTGTTGGGACCGTGCTCTTTCTTTAGCCATTATAATGTACCTATGTTACTTTTTCTTATTAAATCTCATTATTAACTGTATATGCCTATCTCAATTACGATTGCTGTTTTTCTAGGTAATGCTATCAATACTTTTGCAGGCAAATGTTACTCGTGCGTACCTCAAGCTGATAGATGTGTAACAACTCAGAAACTTTGAGGAACAACTCAACAACAGACATGCTTGGGATAAGTAAAGAAAACTGTAGTTTAATTTTAATTGAACAGCTGAAAATGATGAGTGTTTATGCTCAATTTGTTACATTCATTTTCGCGCTATATTTTTCATTATATCAATAAAGTCCACAGTTCGATTCTTAAAGATTCCGTTTCTGACTTCCGTTCCGTTTCCGTACGGAATTTAATTCTTGAAGTATTTATAGTAAATCTTGTCAGTGTAATTTGAGATGTATCAGTCAAACCAGAAAATAGCGTCAAATTCTCACACCAAGAAATACGAATCTTATGTTTGTCAAAGTGAAATTAACAAGTTTTCGACAGCTAATCCCAGTTGGGGATTTAATCACAATTTTGACTTGGGTCTGCAAACAACATCCGAAAGGCTTTGTCTGTTGGATTTTCTTGAAGCGTTTCACATTCACAAAGATTTATCTTGTTTACTTAACGACTTTAATTCCAATCCGCTCATTCCTGACGCTTTTAAAATTCTATTAATTTAATTTTTCAGTTTGTGTTACTATTTCTGCCAACAGATGGTGCTACGTTCTCGTTAGCTTTAATTCTTTTTACATAAAGCTGTTGCTGTTGAAGAGCGACCTGCATCTTTTTGCCCTCAAAAATCTTTAGTCTTGACTATAATCTACGCCATATACAAGGTGTTCGCGTTCCTCAATTTTACGGGCTAAAACAGTTTTAAGAATGTCAGTCACTATCGTTAAAGCAAACAAAACCTTGACCTGATATTCTAAAATAATGAAAATTATGCATATTATTTCCTTTAGTTAAAAAGCACTTTCAAATATGATTACTATTATTATTACTCTTTTTTTTTCTTATTATTATTATTAATAATATCCAAGCACGACCTTGGCAGAGACTTTTTGCAGCAGGAAAAAGGGAAAACCAATTTTGCTCTTGCCAAGACTCACACCAAATCTTCTAACCAATTAACAACAACAGCATGCAAGGAGGAGAATGTGATTATTCTTATCAATTCAAATGCAAAGTAAATAACAGATAAATTTATTTCCGAAACTATTAACATTAGAAGTATTGGAAGATTTTTCTTCCGTTCTTACACATTCCAAAGTTACGATATGCAGTGAGCATTTTAGATGTTTTCATAACGCGAAATATGAAAGTGATAACAAAATCCTCACTGCGCTGAGCCCATCAAGTAAATTGAAATACTTTATCCACATTTCTGAATATCATGACTGTTAGCGTTTTCACTTGTCTCAGTTCGAACGTAAACAGGAATTAATGAAAGGATATAAATGTGTCACCTACCTGAAACAGCAACATATCTATACCTAATTCAGATAGAGAAATATTTTGTACGAATGTTTCACGCCGACGTCGTAAATTAATTTGCGATAATCCTAAAACAAAAGTTAATGACACACGATCGATACTTTAGCTGCTTTAAACAGCGACATATCTGTCTTCAAAACTAGTCGAGGAATGATACACGGAAATGTTTCATGCCGCCATCATAAATTAATTTATGATAATCCTAATATGATGTCACAAGGCGAATTGCTGAAAGAAATTGTCATTCTCATAAATAAGAGGTTTGGCGAAAATGAAAATGCATTACACAGATGTTCTTTAGATACAGAAGCTGTATTTCTGGCGACTAAGAACGTATTTGTTAGGCTTCTCTTTATTGATTCTAAAAGACCGTGTTTTGCATGTTTTATAACGAATGAAAAATTATGAAGATCATTAAATTTATAATAATAAAGGTAACTATGAAGGGTCGTTATTCAAATAGATTTATATAATTAAATGCGTAGTATCACTGCATAGTAAAATAACGATCTGTGAACCTGTGAGAAATCTCTAGGAAATTTAAGGAAACTGCATTTGTCTCTTGTAAATTCTGAAGACGTTATATTCAATAAATCAGTCACTACACGAATCCCATCTGACCATTATCCAAATATCTATTTTCGGAAAGACTTAACATCTTGAACAGGGAGGAATTCCTTCCTAATTGAGGATTTCAAAGCTTCAGGGGAGGAATACGGTCATTTATTTACTTTTAAGTACGGAATTTAATTTACCTTTTAAGTGCTTTAGTTTTGGTTTATGAGTACAAAAAACCATTTTAGTTCAAGTTTCGATAGTTATCAACATTTCTTATACTTTTTCTCTTTTAATTTATGAAATACATTGAAAATTAATCTAAATTAAAAAAAAGTGTATATGCATTTTTCAAGTTTCGAAAAAGAAGAGGGGCATAATCGTCTGGCAGTGGTGAAAGGGGTGCATGAGGCAAAAAAGGTTACGAACCACAGGTTCTAGAGAAACAGTTTCTGAGTATGACGACTAAATTATTTTGTTTTTTTAAAGGCTACAAAATATTCATTAATTAAATATGTAGAAAATAAAGAAAACAATAACAAATATTTTTTTAAATTGTAAAAATTTATTATAATTATAAATATTTATTGTAATAATTTTTTCTAATAATTTTTTTAGCATTATTGGCGATATAATTTACAGCATTTTCTACGCTGTTTCTTTAAACTTTACAGCACATATCAAACCATGAAACTGCCGAAGTTGATTTTACTATGAAGGAGGGATTTTTTCGCATTTGTCGCTAACTCTAATTTAGAGAAACTCGCAAATTCTCGTGGTTTATACATGTTAATTTTTTTTTTTTTTTTTTTTTTTTTTTTTTTTTTTTGTTGTTGATTAATTTTCAATAATTTAAGCATTAATGTCACATTTTCATTCTGAAGTTCCTAGAAAAGGGTGCTGAAAAAGTCGTTTTGCAAAGGGCAATGAGCCTTTTTAATGTCGAGGCTGTTTCTGAACTGTAATTTCATCATTTGATTTTTGTCCGCGATTGATTTCATTTGATTTTTTCACATCATGTGATTTCATAATTTCATAGAAGTCCACATAACTTCATTACTTACTACACTTTCATCATTGCCAGAGTACTGCAGCCAAAATGATACTATCTTCTTGCAAATAAGCAACGCCTGTTTTTTAACTCCCAATTTTATTTTGATGTAATATTTAATGTTCTATATTACAGATGGAAAGGTATTCCCTCGAAAACAAATAATGGATGAATAGCCAGATCATGACGAAACCTACGGGTGAAAGTAATGTATTCCTTCTCAAATAAATGCTCTTCATGATCTATTTGGCGCATGCGCAGCCGTTGCAGCGAACATGGCGGCAAGCAGTGTGTCTGTGGCTGTGGAGCAGCGATGTGTAATTAAATTTCTTTTGAAGGAGAAAGTTAACCAACTCAGATTTTCAGAATATTGCAAACACTACATGGTGAACCAACGATGTCACGGACAAGAGTTTACAAATGGTGTGAACAGTTTCGCTAAGAACGGAAGCGCATGGACACATTCACCCGACTGCAGTCACACTAGTGAATATTGCATGTGTTGAGCAAATGATCCTTCAGAAACAGCAAGTAAAAGTGCGGGATATTGCTGCCGAGATGAATATCAGGGTCGGGTGTGTTGAGACAATCATTCACGACAACTTACGCTTCCACAAAATCTGTCCAGGGTGGGTTCCCCATCAGCTGACATATGAACAGAAGTGGTCACGCATGACGGTCTGTAAACAGCTTCTGAATAGGTTTCGAGCCGAAAGTGTTGAACTGTTGCAATCCATCATCACGAGTGATGATGGTTGCAAATGGTTGTACAATTCAACCCCAAAGACCAAACGAAGCAGCATGGAGTGGTTGCATAAAGGTTCCCCGCAGCCCAAGAAAAGCAAAAAGCAACAGTCCGCTGGAGAGATCATGGCAAGTGTCTTCTGGGACATGAAGAATGTTATCCATGTGGATTTTCTGGACAAAGAGAGCACAATTAATGCCCAGTAATACTCCACGTTGTTGAATGGTGTTGTGCAAAAGTACATTCGCAAGAAACGACCTGGGATGGGTTCTAGAAATGTCATTCTTCTCCATGACAACGGCCGCCCTCATACGTCCAATGTGACAACAACAACTCTGGACGAAATGCAGTGGAAGTTATGCTCCATCCTCCCTTCGGTCCAGATTTAGCCCTCAGTGATTATTTTTTGCTTGCACCCCTTAAAGACTATCTGGGAGGGAAGAAATTTACGACAGATGAAACACTACGGAACGATGTCCTCTAGACCTTACGTAACATTGCAATGCAGACGCTTTTTATCCAGTCCCTGAATTTCTGATTTCTATAAAGAACCTAACCTAAAAGACTTAGCCATCAATTTAGCACATTTTATTTCTGGATAAAGCGTTTTCGACGTTTTCTTTGGAATGAGTCACTTTCCTGGCTTGCTTGGTTGCTGCTAAAAAACTGCGACTAATTTCTCTCTACCATCTTGCTATGTGCCTAGCTTACGAAATTGTGGAGTGCATATAGCGCCCATAATGATGTGAATCAGGTACTTCCTCTCCAGAATTGCTTTATCCAGAAATAAAATGTGCTAAATTGATGGCTAAGTCTGTTTGCAAATGTCATCATTCTATTTATGCAGTAAAACCTCTCCAAGCTTTTTCGACGCAATAAACCTTTTTTAAATTTGGGTACATACCCTCTCTACTCTAAATATAGAAGTAACTTTTTCTAAAAGACGTCTTTCAAAACTAATGCGGTTATGTATATATACCTGGTATACGATGGAATCTCAGAGATTCAAATTAAATAATTTTTATTATAAATACCACTACGAGTAACTGTGTATTACGTTTTCCTTTGTTTTGCTTGATGCTAACGAACGTGCTTCGCATTCTTCATTGTTAAGATGCAAAATGCTATGTAGAAAATCTGTGAGATGCATAACCACCCATAATGATGATGTGTTATGAAAACGAATATTTGTCCTAAGAATGTTATCAAACAATAAAATGGTATGTTCAAATTACGGCTAGGTCTATCTTCAAGTATTTAAATAAACAGTAAAGCTTCTCTAAGTTATTACAACGCAAAAAACCACTACCTGTCCATTGCAGCTGTTTCGCAGTCATCCTAATACATATATTTGTATAACATTTCTTAAATCTGTTTATAAATTTCATGACATATTCCTTCTTCGCATAATTATATATCTTGATATCTGGTATATTTTCAAGTGTATTGTTCTTCATTTTCTTTAATATTTTAATAATTCTATAGATTGCATAATTTGTTAAGTTTCAACATAATCTTTGAAAGTAATTTTAGTGAAAGAAAACAGGTGAAATGCTGGAACTGATATCGGAGTGATAATAGGCGGAGGAAGGGCATCCAAAATCCTTGTATTGAAGTTCTACGTTCTTGCTACCATTACTTTTTCGGCTTAGTGAAAGAAGTTGCTCACAGAGCAAAAGGATTATAACTACAGAAAATTGATTCAGAAGTCAAACAACAAAAATCAGCGTTATATTTTCAAATTTTCACAGTACTAGTTTCGATGTTTTTACCGAACCACCATCCTCAGCTGCAAAAACGCAAATGAACGAGATAGGATATAATGATTAGATAAGATAAGAAAGCCTGGACATAAAATAAGCTAGTGGGGCCATCTGTTGATGAAACCAGAACTAAAACATTCAGTTCAGTGAAAATTTCAGTTAACGTTTGAATTTGAGACTTGCAATCCTCTTCCGTTTCTCCCCATTCTGGTCACACGTAACACATCCAAATTCAGTACTACGGTTTACCGTAAACCTTCATCGGTTTGCCTTCCACCACACTTTAAATCATGTCATCCGACTAAACAAAAGTTACCTCCATTTTATTCCTATGTTTTCCGTGCTCTTCAAGTTTGCTCCTAAAAAAAAACTAGCCCTTGATTAAGAACTAAATTATTTAAAAGCAGTAGCTATTGACAGGGGCTTTTCATACAACATTATTAATCAAGCAGTTAAAAAATTCTCTTCTCAACACACTAAAAGGCACACTCTTGTTTTTTGAGATTATAAAAATTATGTTGTCATTCCCTTCTTTCCATCAATTAGCTATAAAGTTGCACATATTTTGCAGAAATTTAACTTTCGGGTCGTTTATTCTCCCATCAATAAAATTCCGAGTTCCATACTCAAGGACCCCATTCCGGATATGAATTCCTGGGGTATTTATAGGATTCCTTGCCAGTGTGGTTTGATTTACATTAGCCAAACTAAGAGAGCCTTAAAATTTCGCGTCAAGGAACATGAGGCATATGTTAGAAAAAAGGAAACACAGAAGTCTTCTGTTGTTCCGAAAATCACACTTTCAATTTTTTCTGTTGCCAAAATTATTCAAAAAACATCTTCCATTCGAGAACTGGATTTTCTAGAAGCAATTCACATTCGAAAAAATCTTTCTGTTCTAGTTAACGATCCTAATTCCAATCCATCTTTGCCTTCGGTCTTTATAGAAATTATGTTTTAGTTCTAATTCATCAATAGATGGCGCCACTAGCTCATTTTCTGTCCAGGCTTTCTTATCTTATCTAATCATTATATCCTATCTCGTTCATTTGCGCTTTTGCAGCTGAGGATGGTGGTAAAACCATCGAAACTAGTACTGTGAAAATTCGAAATAAAACGCTGATTTTTGTTGTTTGACTTCTGAATTAGCATTTGTTCGGCGTGTTATCGTGTCTTAATTACAGAAAGTTGGTCGAGTTTGGTAAGTGTGTTGAAAATTATCAAGTTTTCTGTCCGAACCAAAGTTGATATACATTTGAATAGGCTAAGTTATTATAATCACTTCGTAATGTTAGTTTATCAGAAAACCGCTTTAATCGATGGTCGAAGAGTAATCGCATCATTTATTCGTTACTATTTTTAGTTGTATTACCATAAATAATGTGTAATAGCGTTTTGTGTTAGATTTAATTTTGTTATGAGTATTCATAACTAAACGTTAACCGAGAGGACAATTTTTAACCATTAGATGTGATTTCATAAAGCCAGCCGTTAGATTTGACAACAAGCAACTCCAGTAAATTTAACAGAGACGTTACCGAATGGCAAAGAAACTACCTATGAGAAGAAAGATTAATTTCTCAACGTCTTACAGTTTTTCAAATCTGTTTGTGATAATTTCTTCATCCTGTTCATGCATTTTAATCAAATTTAAAATTTTTATTTATGGTTTAGATTTTTTTTTTAGGAATTTCTCAAATTTCGTAAATCACTCGAACCATATAGAAGAAAGAAAGGCACTTACAGCAATCCTACTTGCTGATTTTACCAGACAGGTTCCAACAGACTGGTTGATGACTGCATTTCATAGTTCAGTTACTAATAACTTCAAATATATTAATAACAGTTCACTGCCCATTTTACGTACCATAATATGTATCTTTGCTAAACTATGATTATCTGCTTTAATTACGAAATTCTTTGCTTTAAAAATTTTGATGCTGATACATCCTTCAGTTCCAACTTCCTAAGCTTGCCTTTAAACTTCTGCAATTTCCAAGGGAGATATCTATCAGCAAAAATTAATTCTAAATATTTTAAACTTCGGAAAAATTCTTCTAAATTTTGAAATGGTGTATAAAAATAAGGCGAATAATCTTTAGTACTTAATAGGTAAATAGAAGACAAAGTGTAATTCATTAGCCTTAACATTTAAATTTAAATTTCTTAAGAATGATTGTTTCGGTCACATCATTTCAAGCTCCACAAAATTATGTTTTTGGAGTTGTTTTCACTCTCTCTCTCTCTCTAAATATATTTATATGTATGCAATGATAGCACACCAGTATTTGAATAGTCTATGATATCTTTTAGAACGATGAATTTGCAGATACTATTTTACAGAAACCCAATTGAGGAATAAATGTTCCATTGAGGTTATTATCACGTAATACATGTCAACTAATAAATAAAATATTAGCACAATTTTGGAAGCATTGATTACATATTTGAAGCATTGAACGTAAGAATGTTGAGATGTAGAAGGGCAGAAATACTAATGGCGTAGATAGTTGATGCTTAGAGCGTCCAACCATTTTTAAGAAGTAGCAGTCGAGCCGGATTACATTCCATATTTACGAGTATTTAAATTCACATTTTGTGGCCATAATCTACTTGGCACTCCAATCGTGACCACTTCCAGAACATTCGCAATTTTGATATTATACCGGTAGAAGCTATCATAGCAGCACATGATTGAAAAAAACATCTTAACAGGATGAAAGCTTAAGCGAAAAAAGAAAGAGTGTCGCAGTAGTAAAGCAGAGGAAGAAGGGAGGGAGTGAAAGTTTTGGTTTACAATTATTTTGACTGGGCAAGAGGTATTTGCATTAAACGGTACGTAAAATCGTACGTAAAATATGAATGACGCAGTTTACATTTATAGTGCTGTTTCTAAGATAGAGAGATACAATTCCCAAATTAAATAAAACTAAAAGAGGTCATAGAATTTAAAAGTTTGCTTTTATATTTTTATCTCACATGTATATATATATATATATACATATATATATATATATATGGGGGGCTGGATTCTAACTTAAACGGAAGTTGTACTAATGGGTCTAGTCACGACGGGAATTTGATTCTGTTTGTCCTATACAGTCTTTTCTCAGTCTATGGTGCTCGAAGCCTACCCTTGTAGTTCCCCTAGATTTCCAATAAAGACCGAAAATAAAGTTCAAATTAACTGCGTGTATCACTTTATACTACATCGTAATTCTCAAGAATCTGGAAAGCACACATAGAAATCGTCTGTCACTTTTTCTCCCAAGACGGATATTTTATGAAATTTATTCCTTGTTACCGTATTTATGGACTTCCCACTATAGTATTTTTTAAAGCACTATGACTGTCGTGCTTCTCGTCTTCGTTTCGCTGTACATCTGGCACCCCTGGGCTCACTACCAATAAAAATGGAAGTTCTTATTGCTTTTAATTACAGT